GATCGCAAAGGAGGTGGCGGAGGCGGAGCCACCCCTTTCACGCGTGCCGGCATGTAGGGGCTGCCGAAGTTCATGGTGGCGGATGGCAGCGAAGCGGCGAAGCGAAGCGAAGGTGATCTTGTAGTCACGTGTAGTAGGCATAGTAGTAGTAGTAGTAGTAGTAGTAGTAGTAGTAGGAGGAGTCTTGTTGTTGCCGCACATGGGACTGTGATGGGTGCTGCAAGCTGACACAACGTTGACACACAAACACCTAGGGCACTGCACTCAACATTTCCTCGGGCCACGCCTATAAGATCGCAAGAGCAGCACATCAAACATGTGTCGACAAGCATGAGTTTGCGTCTCCATCTATGCTTCAACACAAGCTGCCTGCAGGAAAACCGAAATCTTAACTTGTGCCGGTCAAGTGGCAGCCAGTGACAGCCACCAGCCACTGACATTGGCACTCGGTGATCTGGCTGGTAGAGCCTTGGTTCACAAACATACAAACACATCCAAGGGACAAGAGCTAAGGACTGCCGACAATCTGATAATCTACAGTATTCGCTTGTGTAACAGCTAGCTGTGTAACACCTCACATCTCCGAAGCGACCAGGCGACTTGAATAATACATGGCAGCACAACCCATTCCCTTTTTGACTGGACAATGCTTGGTACGCAGGCATGTCTTGGATCGACCTTAATCCACCTTGGAAGCGCTGTGAAACTGTGCTGTTGGACCATGACCATAGCCATAGCGGTTCACAAGTTCTGAACAAGTAGGTCCCTCGACATGATATGACTGTACGTAGCATTGTACATGCTCGAAACTGCTCAAGGTCTGTGGTCCACGGACGGAGTCCATGCACGCAACCTTGGGATCATGAAACTCAGCTCACTACTCTGACTCATTGTCGGAGATTGTTTCAAGGTGCCTTTTCCACGGAACCTGATTTGGGCGTCGCTTCAATACACGGCCGATGACGCTACACACATCCATCTTCTCGCTGATACCGATGTCCTCGCAGTCACGTAGCAAGCGCCGCCACACCCCGTCGGACCAAGACGCCATCTGAAGCAACTCCTCGATCTTGCGTGGCTCCAACGGCTCCGGCTGTTGACTTCTTGCATCCAGCAACAGCTCACCCATGAAACGCCGTATGTCAGGCACTGAAATGGGCATGATCCACACAAGTCACACTGTCTAAGACTCTAAGACTGTCTCAGCGGCCACACGGCCACAGGCTCAGGGGCTTCAATCATGTCCAACGCTATTGTGGGCTTCTTCATATAGCTATAGCATAATGTACCCCAAAACCCTAGTCACACACGTCACCGCTGCTTGAGACTCAAAATTGCTATGATACGACACAAACATTCACGCACATGCCATGGTGCGAGCAATCCAACTGCCAACTGCCTTGATCAGGTACCCGAGTCAATGCCCATGCCCCAGCGTGACCCAAACTGGTGCCAGACAAGCAACAGTGACAATCGCTGACATCCGTTGTCCGTTCTCAGTGAGCTGAGTGGCCAAGCCTGAATTCACATACAAACACATGCTAAGAGCGCAGTGGTGCGGCTAAGTGCTAAAACAGATACACGCAGGCCCTCGCAGGCTCACTCCAACACTCTGTTTGTCCATCCATGATTCCAGAACACTCCGGACTGCAGCTGAGCTACTGTCGCAACCATGCCTTGCAAACCTGGCAGAGCACCGGCGACGTCTCGATGCGCTGACCAATGTCCAGGTTGTCGTCGATGAAGCCGCTCAGACTCAGTCAATACAACATGCAGCAACATGAACAACCACGTCAGAATTTGGTACTACAGGATGTCAGCATGAGTCATGACTCCAGTCCCTACTGGCCCTACTGACGACATGTCACATATTGGTGCAGGCACATCACTGTCACATCACTCTATCATTCCAAAAACGAATGTCACATGATGGTCCTGATGGTTTGCCTTTAAAAAACCTTTAACCCCCATGCACCCCGACGCACACCAGCAACGTCAGCAACGTCGTTGCTGACTCATCTTGCGTTCCAAGCGACTGTTGAATGAAAGTGTGCAGTCGTCATATTCACACACACCGAATGATACAGTGAAACAGTGAAACAGTGTTCTTACTGTCGCAGCCACAAGCTTTCAACAACAACCGTCGGTCACTTGCCAACAACTGGCCAACAACAACTATCCACTGTCCTGTCCGGAACCAACGACAAACATGACAACCGTGGCACACATATCTCACGACATGTTGTAGAACAAACAGTGCTACAATGCTGCTGGAGCTGAGAAACGATCCCCAGGAAGAACCCACAGCCACACGCGCTGCCGATGATCCAGAAGCTGGCTCCACCGTTGCAAGAAGGACGTTTGGCAACTGGTGCAAATGCAGACGTGGGACGCAACTGAATGTAGCTGACCGCTGTGTGTGCTTGTGTCATTCTGGTCGTGCATGATGTGTGTGCACTGAGCAAACATAAAGCGCACTGCTCGACAGGAGCATGTGTGTGGCCGCATACTGAGCAGGCACAATGCTGCTCCGTTTCATCGAAGAGAACCTGCTCGTCCATATCTCGCGAATGCAGAGACACTGCCAACTTGAACATTCGAAAAAGCCTCAGGGCAGGTTGTGGCAAAGGCGGTCGCTTGTCTTTCTTAACTCGCTTGACTCCTTCACCCACAGCTGGAAGAATAATATCTCTGACCGCGAAGTCGCGCGGGCGTGATGCAAAATTCACAGGACATATGATGCGGTCCAGATCGTCTAAGAAAACCTCTCGACCCATGGAAATGTTTCGTCGCGTCCACTGCACCAGATGCACGTCCGCCGTTGCATTCGCATCGTCACCATCAATCTCCAGAAGAAGCGTAAGCTCACCTCTCATTAAGGCAAACCACACCACAAACATGCAGCACTGGAGTCACTGTACTATTACGGGACGACGGAAAGATATCAAAACAAACAAGTGCAACTCAACTCTGTGAGACTGGATCGGCTTGACCGTGAAACTGTGAAACTGTGAAACCAGTGAAACGTCTCACCAGTGAACCCAGTGAGAGGAAGATATCAACAAGTGAAACTCAGCTCTGTGAGACTGGATCGGCTTGACCGGACTCTACTGTGAAACTACAAAGGTGAAACCGGGAAACTGTGAAACCAGTGAAACGTCTCACAAGTGAACCCAGTGAGACCCACTTATGAAGCAGATCTATCTTTCCGTTTTGTACTACAGCAAGGTTCGCCAAAGGACCAATCAGATGGGCCCGGTCGTGAAACTGTGAAACATCAAGGGACTATCAAACAAAAAAACTAACAACGAGTGACTTCGTGAATTAAACACAGCCCACGGCTCATGCCTGCTATCGGCAAGTAGAAACATGAACCCTAGGCAGCCCGGATGCTGTTGTCGCCCAACGGTCTCGTGCACTCTCTGTCACGATGTTGTAGAGCTTCGCAGGTCATCCGCATCGCAGCCTGCCATTTCTGCCAGAACGATTTGGCATCGTCATCATCTACAGTCCGCGGCTGGGTTGCCGCACCTGATGCTTGATCACCCTGATCAGTTACGACATCCGGTCGCAAGCTGGAGGAATGCACCTCGTCCTCGTTGATGGAAGTTTGGCCCAACCCGTTCACAAAAAGCTCTTGCAGAAAGGCTTCGGTCTCTTGATCTACTGGCGCCAACACACTGGATGCTTCAGCAGCAAGAAGCTCGTCATGGCGACCTTCCACCTTGGTGCCCATGCCGGGAAGCTTCATGTCTGCCGCTGTTGCTGCGATCTTCACGTTCAAGCCCTCCAGCTCAGCCATGTCATCTACGTCATCTTCGTCGTTCCCTTCGTCACCAAAGTCATCCAACCCCAGCAACAGACGCATGAGCTGTTCATTGTCTAGGCGGTTCGTTTCCTGGCCTTGGGACCCCGGCATATTCTCGTCGACGTCGTCCCCAAGCATGTCAGCGTCGTCATCGATGCCGTCGGGATCACGGTCATCGCCGTCGCCACCTGAGTCCTGATCATCCAATGGATCCGTCCTTTCAGCCCGCTGGTACCGAGCACGTAGCCGACACAATTCCTGCACAGCCCCAGCAGCGAGCCCCTGGCATGGAAACCTCCTGTATGTACAGGATGTTGTGATGCCGCTTTTCAGCTACACGACTGTGTAGTTTCGCAATGAGCTGCGCACTGAGCATAAACGAGGAGGTTGCACCCCCTGGTTCTTGTCGGAAGAGCATTGCCTGTGACCGAGTCACTCCACAACTGTTGAAACTAAAGGCTTCTCAAGCCTTCCTTCCCACTCTACTCGCAAACACACTTTTCTCACTTCGCGGGCTGACTTGCTTAAGCCTTCGTGTCGCGGTTCACACACATGTTTCATGTGTTCTCGTGATTACTCTACACACTCTACTTGGGACTACGTGCACTAGGTTACAAACGAACACCCCGCCTCAGAAAGTTCTTGCGGGTTCCTAGGGTGTTCTTGGAAACTGCTAGGGCTTTCTGTACAGTGCTTTTGCTAGGGACTTTCGTCTCCGTTGTTCTTGGTCTTTTACCTAGCTGCACTCCTGCCCTGTTGCTACTTAGGCCTTCTATGTCTGTACATTGGCCTTCCTGAAAAACCTACTCTGTATATACAGCTACGTTCTAGTTAGGTCCAGCCTATGGACTCTTTGCGGGGAGGCCCGTACCCCGGTTTCCTTCTGCCCTTACGTAGCCTACGGGCTTTTCTTCTTTCGGGCTTCTTCTCTTTGTTTTTGGCTTCTCCGGCTTCTTGCCTCTTCTGGCCCTTGTACCTTCCTAGCCTGCCTTTTGTGAAACTTCTTGTGAGACTTTGGAAGGTTGTAGCTTACCTAGGCTTACTGCCCCAGTTTGCTACGTCTATACATTTGCTCACACTTTGTACATGAATTCTTGTGCTAGTATACATCAAGTCTTACGTTGCTTAGCCATGTACATATGTACAAGTGTTCACTGCTTGACCTGCTCGATCATCCCTTCTCGGGATCCTTTCACTGGGTCTGCACCCAGTTCTTGGACTTCTTGCCTTTACCCTTTCCTTTGGGTGTCCACTGGTCCCACTGGTTCTGCTGCGCCCACTCTTCTGGCGTCTGCCAGTAGCCTTTGTTCTGGGGGTTCGCGTTCTCGTACCAGTTGCTGCCGTCGTCGGTGGTGCTCCAGTTCTCGTTGTTCCACTGGTCGTTGTACCACCAACCGTCGTTGTGTCCGTCGTCCCAGGAAGGGCCTTTTCCCTTCGTTCCTTGGTTGTCGTGCTTGCCCTTCGCGTGGATGCGTCGCTGCACCTCTTCCTCGATCTTCTCGTTCTCCTTGGTCTCGAGGAATTTATCCAATTCCTTTCCGTCTGTAAACCAAATGTTGTGTTTCCTGTAGCACTCCGTCACCTTGTTCCAAAGGAGGCGGCCTTTCACCGGAGCGTTCTTGATTCTTGGGGCTCCTTTCTTGTCCTCACACTTCGCGCGGTACTCCTGCGTCTTCTTGTTGAACTCCCACACGTAGCCAAGCTGTGTGAACTCGGCTATGTCGTTCGGGTCGACGGTAGTTTCGTCTCCTTGGTTGCTTGACGGCTTCTCTTCTTGGTCTTCTGTCTCTACCTGCTTTGGCCTTTTTCCTTTCTTCTTCTCTTCCTCTTTTGCCTTAGCCTCTGCCTTCTCTTTCTCTTCCTCTGCTTTGCTCTTGTACGCTTCTTCTGTCTCTTCTTCACCTTCGCTTCCAGACAAGGTTGCACCTAAGGTTTCCTTGAGGCTCTTGACCTTCTGCTTGTACTTCACGATCTTGTCCTTAGCTGCAAGTAGAAGTGCGTCCACTTCCTGTGAGTAACCTTTGAAGTACTGGTAGTCGTCCTTGAGGCTCTTGTAGTCGTACTGGAGGTCGTCGAGCTTCTGGTTCCTTACTTTCTCTTCTTGCTTTAGCACTTTAAGCTCTCTCTCCAAGTCCTTCTTTGCGTCGTCAACGTACTTCTTGGCGTACTCTTCTCTCTCCTGGTCGTAGCCGGCGGTTCTTTCCTGGGCTTTTCTCTCTCTCTTCTCTGCCTCTTTCTTCTTCTTTTCAACCTCTGCTTCCTTTGCTTTGACGTTCTCCTCAGCTTCTTCGAGGGCTGTCTCCTTCTCGCTTAAGACCTTGGCTTGTTCTTGGAAGGTCTCTTGGTCTTTCTCTGACTTCTCTTCTCTTTCTGTAACTTTGTCTTCCTTTTCCTTCACCTCCTTCTGCTTCTTCAAAAACCTTTTCACTGTCTCCTCAAACTCTGTCTTTTGGTTTCCGAACTGCTCCTTTTCCTTCTCCAGGCTTTCCTCAGCTTTCTTCAACTTCTCTGCTCTCTCTGTCACTTCTTTCTTTGCCTCGTCGAAGGAGTCCACGTCGTAGTTCACCTGAGCGGCAGGAGCTTCGTCTCTTTTCTTCCTTCGGTTCTTCTTCTTCTTTTCCTTCTCTCCACTTCTGCTTCCTGAGCTGCTTTCCTCTTCTTCACCGCTGCTCCTCTCTTCTCTCTTCGGCTTCTTGTGCTGCTGTGGCTTTCTCATCTCGTTCACGACAAACCATGCCGCCATGCACACCATGGCGAGCGTCACCAGGACTTCCAGAAGCGACATGCTTCCAGGACTGCTTGGGACTTCTTGTGGGCTTGCTACTTCTTGAGCTGCGGCGAAAGGTACGTAGGCTGCCTCAGTCTTTCCAAACAAACTCGAAAGTGCAAACAACATGCTGCTTTTGTTCTTCATGATCTTCTCGAGTCTTCTCACCACTTGTGCCTTTTCTTCTTCCTCTCGCTCTTGCTCTCCAACTCTTCCTTCGCTGTTGCACATGCCGATCATGTTCAGGAGAAACTTCACTCTTTTCGTGCTGAGAGGCTTTGTTCCTAGGTCTGCTGTGTTTCTCCTTTGTACCGACTGCGTGTACAGTAAGCTTGCCTTCGCGTATTGCTGCTTGTAGCCAAAGTAACCGAATCTGCAAGTGCTTGACTCTTCCTGTTCCTTGGCGGTTTGTGATTCCGCGGCATGCGGAACTGTCTGTGTATGCTTTGAGTAGTACTCGTTCTCCTGTAAGGAAACGAACTGCTGCGTGTAAACCTATCCCTTCGCTTGCTGCTCCAGTAAGTGCCATGTATTCTGCTTCTGCTGAAGATAATGCTATCGACTTCTGTGTCCTGCTGTAGCTGTAGAAATATGCACCGTCCAGGTAGAACATGGCGCAACTCACTGACTTCCTAGTCTGCTTGTCTCCGGCCCAGTCGGAGTCGCTAAAAACTTCCAGCAAACGTTCGCGTGGTTGTTCTCGAGGTTCTTGTAGTTCTTGTGGTTCTTCGGCGCGGTGACGTAGAGCTGACGTTCCTGGGCTGTTCCTGTGGTACGTAACGGCGTAGTCTGACGTTCCTTTGAGGTAGAGCGCCAAGTGTTCCAACTCCTTTCTCTCGCGTTCCGTTGGCTTCGTCATGGCAGTACTGAGGCTACGTACTGCGAACTGAATGTCCGGACGGTCGTGCGCTACGTACAGCAAAATGCCGACACAACTTCTGTACGTTCTCGAGTGTTCCTCGTCCAGTTCTTGGGATACGTCAGGTTCCTGACTAGCCGGTGTGCAGGGTGAGTTCTTGGCCTTCTTCTTCTCCAGCTTGAGGATCTCCACGAGCTTCTTCACGTACTTGCTATCGCTATGTACTCGTAGTTCATGTTGTTCGTACGTGTACTTCCTTTTGAGAAACTTCACGGTCTCCTCAGAAAATCCTTTCTCGTAGTCTTCCTCGTTCAGAAGAGGTCCTTCAACTTGTAGGTTCACTTTCTTCTTGAGGTTCCTGAGGATTGGTTCGATGACTTCCTTCTTTCCTGCAAACTGCAAGTCATCTACGTGCACAATGCAAACTGCAACCACTTTTCCTTGTCGTAGAAGACGGTAAAGTGCTGGAACTGCTGTACAACGCTCAAACTTCTCTTCCACCAAAAGACCATCACAAAAGTCTGACCAAAGACTGGATGCGTCGCGTTGACCTGGCAAAACTCTTCCTAACTTCCAACACCAAGTTCCAGGGTTGCGTTCTTGTTGTTCCTGCATTGCCTGTACGACGTGTGCTGCTTCTTCAGGTACTCGACACAAACAAGGTGTTCTTTGAGGGACTTGTAAAAACGCGTCCTTCACGTCGACACTGTAGATCGCCCAATGGTTGGCGAGAGCCAACATGGGCACCAGTTTTGTAATTCCTGGGCTTGTCGCAGGAGAAAATATATCTTCCCTTTTTCCTTCTGTCTTGTATTCTCTGGCTACTAGTCTGGCACGTCGTTGCCAGCATCTTTGAATCTGCTTGGGCTTTGTTGTTCCTTCTTTGGCTTCTTCAGCTTCAAAACCTGTAGCTTCTCTGAACCTCCAATCTTTCACCAACTTCGTTGTCAACCACTTGTGAAGTTCTTGCTCTGAATCTACCAGAGGTACGTTCTCAGTTGCTTCCTGAGGGTCCGTAGAAACCAACGAAATAACTCCCATCTTTGTTAACCTCTTGATTTCTTTGACTGTAGCTTCATCATCCAACTTCTGAAGAAAAGCCGGATCCACGTTCGGTGGTCCTTTCTCCTCGTCGAAGAACTCGACAGGGACCTTGGTAGAAACTTCCGTTGGTTCACTCTCTGTCTCCTCTTCTTCTTCTTCCGACTCGTACACAAACTCATCATCTGCTTCGTAGACTTCATCATCATGAGGCATGTTGAGGTAACCGTCTGTTTCCTCTGCTCTGTTAACTTGCTTTCGTAGCTTGCTGGGGGAGCTTGGTTCCTCAGGCTCAAGGCTGTGCTTGCTTGCTTCTGCTCTTGGTTCAGCTGGTGCTGAAAGTGCTTCTGCTGAGGCTGTAAGTGGCTCAACTGCTCTGAGTTCCTCCAAAAGGGTATCGTCATCAACTTCAGCTCTTCTTTCCTGTCTCTCGTCACACTCATGCTGCTGGCTTCACTTTGTTCCTCTCTGTCTTCAAGTGCTCGTTGCTGCTCTTCACTGCTGTCCTCCGAACTCGGAGGGTCGCTAGCGGCCTCGTCGTTCTCGAGCTGTTCGCGTTCTTCCTCGGCAACAGGGGGCAGGATGCTTAGCTGTGGTCGTTGTCTTTGCTTCTTCTCTGGAAGTACTCTTGCTCCAAGGAGTGGTGTGTTGAGGTTCCAGGTATGGACCTCTATGCTGCTTGTTCTTTTGGAGTCGTACTGTTCTGGTAGTGGTCTCACGCTGCGTGTGATATGTATGCCATCAGGCTGTGCAACGATCCATGTGTCTTGCTCTGTCTTGCCTAAAAATATTCCTGCGTTCCATATCCTGTCACCTTTCTTCTTAATCTTCAACCTCTTCGCCATCACAACAGTACCAAAGGGTACAAGTTTCCCTGAGTAGGGGTATCCGTGGATAACTTCCTGTGGCGTTCTTCCTGTGGAGCTGCTCACTGCGAACCTGTTGAGTAGCCAGCAGGCGTGTCTAAACGCCCAGCTTACTACTGCGTGCTCGTGTGGTATTGCCAGCTGTGTTCTTTCTCTGAGTTCATCGAGAATGGTGTTCGCTTGCCTCCGTACTGTTTGTATTGCTCTTTCTGCGGCTCCATTGCTTTCGTGGTCGTAAGGAATGCTTTCCTGTAGTGTTGTAGAAAGTCCAAGGCTGCTGCGTACTTTCTGTACTTTGTCCTTGAGTGCTTTGGCTGCGTTCTCGTTGTCTGCTTTGAGAACGAGGGTGTTGTACCCGAGCTGCGTGGTGAACTGCACGAGTGCTTCCGCGAGATGCGTCGTGCTTCCTGCACCTCCTTTCCTCTTGCAGGGCACCGAAAGAACTGCCTTGCTCCAGCTGTCCACAGCGACAAGAGTCACTGCTGGTGGCTCTTCACTTCCTGTGGTGCTTGTATAGCAAAAGTCAAAACTGATGACGGGCTTCGCGGAATCCGTAGAGCTGCTTGGCTTGCTCAATCCCTTCTTGTGGTTGTCTTCTCGTGCTTTCATAGCAACGCAATGGGGACACCAAGGCTGATACGGAAGGTGCGTCAAGTTGTGGTACGCTCTCTCCTCTTCCGTTGGTTCCTGTGGTGGTGCTAGGTGGTATGCTTGGTGGTGTTCCCGTTGTTCCTTGTGTTGCGTGCTGAGCCTTTCTTCTCTGACTGCTGTGGCGAGTCTCTTCAAGAGCTGCTTCTTGCTTCCTGTTGTCTTCACTCTGTACTCTCTGCAAAGTGCTTGTAGTTCCTTAAGACTGCTTTTCTGCGCTGTGTACTCGACGCCTTCGTGGTAGAAGCTTTCCTCCAAAACTTCAACAACTTCTTGTGGTGCTTCTTGGTCTGCTGGTGCTTCTCTCATCTCTTCGTCTTTACTCTCCTGCGCTTCTGGTGGTGCTGCTGAATCTTCCTTCTCTTTGTAGTGTTCTTCCTTCTTCTTCTTTAGCTCCTCTGCTGCAGCTTCTGCTTTTAGGTCTTCAACAACTTCTGGCTTCACGCGGAACCTTGTTTGACCAAACCACGGCAAACGAAAGTGTTCACGTAGAGGTAGGCGGTCTGCTCTCCAGTCGTCGCTGTGTTCGTAGATCTCCGTACTGTAGATGCAGTCTCCTTGGGTATACCTGCTGTTCTCAAGATCTCCAAGGAGGACAGGACAGTTGGCAACTCCTGTCGGGTCAAACAGCACAGTTCTAGGTACTACGTGGTGACGAACAACTTCTCCCTTCTCGAGGTCCATTTTCCAGTAGTCACGACCATGACTTTCTTGCTCTGCTCGATCTCCAGCTGCGTAAGGGGTGCCAAGGATCCAAAGTGGAATTGGCTTTGCTGAAATGGCTGTAACCACTTCCTTTTCTCCTTCTGCAAACTCTTCAAAAGGGTCTGCCTTCTCGGAGTACTTCTTTGAAACTTCAACTGCTCTCCATCCTCTCTCTTCTTTCACCAAAGTGCTTCTGTACGGAAAGTGCGTAGGACTATACATGAGAGATGGGTTCTCGTAGCTGCTTTGAGTAGCATACTTCACGATCACCATGCTGTCAGTGTTGTGCCAACCAGGTTCTTCTTTGTTCACTGCTTCCTGAACGTGCTTGTTGAGCTGAACAACTGTCCGAACCATCTTGTAGTTGTTGCTGCTGTAACTTTTGCTTCTTGAAGGAGTTTGTACGTAGGCGTAGGCTGCCAAGCTGTTCTTGTGGAGATGCACTGGTATTCTTGAGCTTCCGTCTGTAAGACACATACCTTCTTCTTCGTTCACTCGCAACTCCCAGCCTTCTCGAAACAGCTTGCCTATGGCCATCAGCGGGTTGATCACCGAGGCAACGGTGAAGGCTTCCTGGATGCGACAAAAGCTTCCGTCGTCATCAAAGAACGTTAAGTTCAGCATCCTTCTGCCTTCCGTCTTTATTGCTTTTCCTTGTGCGTCCTGAATGGACGAAGGGCGAACCTTCAAAGGGGTTCCTTCTTTTCCTAGCCAAGAGGGCACAAGAGAAACGTCTGCGCCAGAATCCAGGATAACTTCGATTCTTTGGTGAAGATCACTTTCCTGGAAAAACTCTTCCTCTACAACGCGTACTGAAAGAACTTCTTGTGGTGGTAGTGCTTCACGTCCAAGGTACCAGTTTAGTAGAGGATCTTCTTGCTCTTCTTCGCTCTCTTCTCCTTCTGACAAAACAAACTCTTCAGCTTCCGTCACTCTCAAGACTCTTCCAAAGTACTCGATCTCGAGCTCTTCTTCGTCTTCGTCAAGTTCAAAAACTTCAGGGTACGTGACGGGATCGTTGTCCATGTGGTACATCGCGATCTGCCGAACTGTTGGCTTAGCTGTAGACTTCGCGCTTGTAGTTCTTGTTGTTGTGGCTGCCGAAGCGCTACTGCTTGGAACTGTAGTAGGCTGTGTCCTGACGCTTTGCTCGTCTTCCTCCTGTGCGTTCCTGACCTTCTGCTGCATGTCTCTCTGCTTGAGTCTGCAATTGGCTTCGTAGTGTCCAGGCTTTTGGCAGTAATGACAAACACCAATTCCTGGGTTGTTGTAGCCTTTACCTTTTCCTTTGCTGCTGTAGCCTTTTCCCCCGCCTTTGCCATATCCTCGGCCTCTGCCTTTTCCTTTTCCTTTTCCTCGTCCTTTTCCTTTTCCTCGGCCTTTGTAGTAGTACTGGCTTTCTCCTTTTCCTTTTCCTTTACCGAAGCCTTTGCCTTTGTACTTGCCGAATCCTTTTCCTTTCTTTCCTTTTCCCTTTGTCTTTTCCTTTGCCTTTCCACCATTCAACTCGTGAAACATCCATGTCTGCTTGTCCTTGGTGGTCCTTTCCTGAGTTGATGAGGTCTGTGGTAGTCCACCTTGCTGCTTGCTCGTAGGAGAGGAGGTACTGTCGTAGTGTTCCATACTTTGTGGTCTCCTTCTGGTTGAGTAGAAGGTGCTGTCTCATGTTACCTTCAGTTCCTCCAAGAATGATGGAAATCTTCATGTCGTCCGCAACAAGGTCTCCACTCGCTCTCTCGTACTCTTCAATCAACTCCTCAAACTTCAGAATATTTTCTTGTGTTGACCTTTGCTTGTCGAACCTGTAGTGAAGAACTCCGTTGAGTAGTTGTAGAGAACGTGCACGGTTGTGAGGCTGATGCTCCTCCACCAACAACCTCCATGCTTCGAAACCGTTCTCGTTGGGTACTTGCTTTAGAGTTCGTAGAGGACGGCCACGTGTGTAGCTGGTGAGGATGGAATGTAGCTTTCTTGAAAGTGCTTGTTCACCTGGGTTAAGTCTGTTCCATTCCCATGATGCTTCTCTTCTATCCATCTCGACTGCGTTGATCTTCTCAAGGATGTCGTTGTTGAGAGCGCCTATCCAACTTCTCAGCTTCAACCGAAATTCTAGAAAACCATCACGCTCTTCCTTGTACGTAGTAGGGCCAAAGACTTCTGGAGATTTGATCATCTTGTGGAGGTCGATCTCTCCTGGCCTTCTTGACTCTGCGTGCTGCGACAGTGCTGTAACTGCGTCTGCTGTAAGCTTTCCTGTTGCTGCAACCGCGTTTGCAGTAAGCTCTGCTTGTTGTGACAGTGCTGTGTTGGTTGCTTGGGTTGCTTCTGTAATTGCTCTCTGCTGTTGTGAAACTGACTGCGCGAGTTCCTGTAGTTGTTGTGAAGCGGTACCTGCCTGCGCTTGCTGACTGTTCATTGCTTGGGCAAGTGCTTGTATCTGTTGTGTGTTTTGGGCAGTAAGGTCCGTGAGCCTTTGCAAGGCTTCCTCCATCGCAACTGCACTCTGCATGTGACTGTAAAGCAACACAACATGCAACCAGACTCGCTTCTTGAAAAGAACGCTGCAAACTGACCTGTGCAACTTCCTTCTCGAAACTTTCTTCTTCAACTGTTCTCTTTTTGTTTGCTTAACTCTGACCAAAAAATAGAGGTAGATCCAAGTGACCATACCAAGCGGGGTCCCAAGTAGAAGTAGTACTGGGTGACACGTGCGCACGACGTAGCTCACGACGGGCTCAAGGCTTCTTCCTGCTTTCGCAAGGTACTCTTGAAACTCCAAAACCAACTCAAACACAAGGTTCTTGTAGTAGTTCACGTGGGGCACTTCTTCGTTCTTTAGGTTCTCGTTATACTCCGCGACATCACCTTCATGAAAACTGTAGTTGCAACTTTGTTCCTTTACTTCTGTTCTTGTAGAACTCGGAGTACACGTTCGTCTTCTTGAGGTAGCTCGTGACGTTGATCTCGTTCTCGTTCTCGGTTTGGTATTGGGCTCATGTAAATGCGACCACAACGTGAAAAGTTCTGTGTGATCACCTTCTTGGCTCTTCCCGGCAGGTACAACATCCGCTGGGGTAATCTCCTTTATCACATGCTTCTTCTTGGGGTTCTTGTTGTCGAGGCTGAGGACCTTGTTCCTGTAGTTCAGCATGCGGTTCGTGGCCAACGGGTAGCCGTAGGTCTCGTTCACTTCAAACACCATGAACCATGACATGCCCACGAGAACCACAACCATAAAGACTTTTAGCCAAAAGTACTTTCCTGCTGCTTCCAGAAAGGTTCTCTTGTACTCGAAGGTGCGTTGTTCCCGGGATCGGAGTCCGCCGGGACAGCAGTACTTGCATGGTAGTACTCGGTGTACGCTGGTTGCGTTCCTGAGGCCATGACATCTTCCTGAGGTGTGGGTTTTCTCTCCGTAAGGCGAGTACCAGAGTTCTGGCACTTCTTCCTCAGCTGGAGCTACGCGCTCCACCGTCTCCTTTCTCACAAGTTCTTTCACAAAGCTTCTCGCCAGACACATCAGCGAAAAGGCCAAAGCCAAGGAAACCATGGCGACAGCTACCTGTTGTTCCTGTGATAGCTTCATCGCTCCCAAGAGGTCTGAATCAGGGAGCTCCGCTACCATGTTGAAACTAAAGGCTTCTCAAGCCTTCCTTCCCACTCTACTCGCAAACACACTTTTCTCACTTCGCGGGCTGACTTGCTTAAGCCTTCGTGTCGCGGTTCACACACATGTTTCATGTGTTCTCGTGATTACTCTACACACTCTACTTGGGACTACGTGCACTAGGTTACAAACGAACAACAACATATCCAACGTTCAAACTCGGCTTCGTCGGCTTCGTCCGCTGGTTGATGATCACAGCAAAGACTTGTTGGCACCAGCAGTGCAATCCAAGTGTCCGAGTGATCTTTGTTGTGTGCCCTCACTGCTTTCATGAAAGTTGCATTGTACTTCAGGGCCCATGAGTGTTCTGGGGTGGGTCTCGCAGCTGGGTTGTATACTGCAGGATCAGCAGGTGTGAGACGCGCTTCTCCGCAAGTGTGCCATCGTGCTTCATCTGCCAAATACTCTTTGTGCGGCCCGTGCTGCAGATAGGCAGATTTGGCAAACGCCGCCGCGACCGGCACCACGTCCTTATATCGCCAGCCGACTGCATGCAATGCCAGCAGCTTCCGCGTGAGCACCCTTGAAGATAGGAGCTCCAGTGTGATCCTGTTGTTGCCCGATCTTGCAACTTGATGTTTAACCATACTGTTTAAAGACTCCAGCTCCTGCACATCCAGTCGCAGCATGCTAGCGCTGAGCAGCAATGAAGCTCTGAGGCGGCCATTCATGCGGAGACGTCCCGTCACCGCGACCTCTTCAAGCTCTGCCCAACATGATGTACGGATTTTCCGTGTCGTGCACTCGAGCACTTGCTCGCTGCTGTCCAACAACTCACGTGCCACACCTGATGACTCATGACTCATGACTGTCATGACTGAGAGGACAGGATAATTCGGAAGTTCAATTCAAGCAGATGCCTAATTTAGCCTAAGCCTAATTAACAAATAACTTAACAAAGTAGCCGCCGCCTTTGCGCTTGTCGCATGCATCTTGAGGCGCATTCTTCAACATCCAGAAGATACGGAACGGCCACCTGCAATAGTTCTGCAAGAAGGCCGATGATTCGATGATGATGATGATGATGTGGACCGATTAGAGATTAGAGATTAGAGTCTAGAGTATCGATTCTGTCAATGATATCGGGTTATAAGTACAAAGATGGACTTGCTGACACGGGTCTGAGAAAACAAGCCCACTATCCTGCGCTTGTAAGAGGCGTGGTTCAGCATCACCACCCGCATGGCCATATGCTGCAAATCTTCCAGTAAAAGTGCATGGTTTGCATCCCAGCAGATCATCCCTTGCAGAGACGCAAGGGTTCGTTCGCACCAGCAAGGTATGTTGTTGCGCAGGTCATGAAATTCGTCATCAAGCTGCACAAGCCGAACCGTAACAAGATCCACTATGGGCAGTTCATGCGCTTCACAGTCCGTGCACGGATTGCGGATTCTACTCGACGCATGGCCACTGTACTTGCTCAGGATAGCAAACATATGGCGGAAGGGTGACCGCGACATGAAAGATACTTGCAAGAGGAACCAAAACAGCGTATCTTGCAAGCAAAGCAATGAGCCTTTGATCCACTTGGTTACCTTTGATCGGTATTCAGCTGCCTCTTCCAGGCCCAGTTCGTCCACATCGTGTTCCAGCGCCGACTGGTCTTGACGTTGAGCGTTTCGTTCCAAGTAGGCATTGTACTCCCCCGTGGCGAAGGTTGCAAGGAATGTTCTCACGACGTAATCGGGAGTAGCAGCATGAAGGAAATATTCCTCTGCACCTCAAATCAACCAGAAACATTGAAGTTAAGAACACCTAACAACTAGTACTAAGAGCTGAGATCATAGCTGAATGCCGCCAGCATTATTCGGCCTTTCACGCAGACGAGCGACAATCAATGGAACCCCATCTTCCAGCGACAGCTAAAGGAGGGACCGTGCAGGAAGCTTTGAATTCAAATGCTCGAGGAACGATTACGTTCCACGTCTGGTTGACTTTGGCGCCGTGAGCACGCCACGTATGGCATACCTTCGCCACTGAGCCGAAGTAGTTATGCTTCTGCCCTTCTCTTCAAGCAGTTGGTTAAGCAGTCGCAACGAGTCCTTGCACATCAGATGCAGTTGATGCTTCAGGCAGGGAACCTCGAAGACCCATTGGTTCCAGAAAGCAGGTGCTGCGAGCACAGTCCGAATAGACGCTCGGAAGCTTGCTTGATCGGGACCACAATCGCCGGAAAGACACCACACATGAATGTGGCACTTGGGCAATGCACCTGTCCTGAATTGAACTAACAAAGTGAAACAACAGTGCACACTCCGTAGGACTGTATGCTGTATGCTGTGTAACAAAGAGACAATCATACTAACGACCGACGACTGCCGACAACAATCTAGGTCGAGGTTAAGATGATGTTTCATGATGATGATCATGATCATGATGATGGTGCTGGCACTGTGAAATTGTGAAATTTATCACTTAAAGACATACTGTCAGCAGAGTGTCCTGGTCATCTCTGCAAATTCGTCCCATGTGGGCGCTTTGATGCTGTTGAGCTGCTTCAACACAATCGCAAGATTGTTGGCGGCTGTTCCAGTCGAGCACACTTGCAGATCACACCTTGGGCAACGAACACATCAACAACGTCTACACATCAACAACGTCTACGATATGGCTGCCACATGTCAGTCTGTTTTAACCAAGGTGTATGGAACTTGTTGTCAGACACAATAATCAGTTGCTGTGGATTGAGGACCAAATTGTCGGTGATGTTGTTTCCTCGGTTCTCAGTTGTACTTTTGTTTTGTATTGCCGGGCCGAGACACACTGTGTGGTGGAACACGAACGCTTGCAGGAACTGGTTGAGACTCTCGATACGGCGCCCATGCGTCATCGTGCCAGTCGACACAAGGAGGCCTTGAAGCTTGTTCCGCCTCCATATGCCACTGTTCGTGGCATCCCCGCAAAACGAAGTTGACGACAGTGAATATGATGCATCAGCCCCAGCACGCCTATTGTCTGAGTCAAGTGGCGTGGCTACCCAGCCTGATATCCCACTTCTATCCCCGTCTGGGTCTGGGTTCAACCCGAGATCACGCTCCACCAGAACCTCATGCGAAATACACTCCTCGGAAGCGGCAACAGCAAAGGCCGCCACCTGCGTGTTCGCTTGCGTCTGCTGCGCCTCACAGGCGTCGTGCTGCTCGAGTCACTTGAGCTTGTAGGACTTGTAGGATCCGACGCCGCCGCTTCGTGTGGTGACGAAGGCTCCTGGGCGTGATGATGTGGGATCATGGTCCAGCACTGCACACAAACAGCAGCAAAGATGTTGAAGATGTTGCTCACATCAATCTGAAATGATGTTATGATTCCCATGTTATTAGCAACTACCAACTCATCCCCTTATCACTCTTATCAACGTATCCGTATCAACTGCACGCTGCACGCTGGGTTCACGGTCACTCAACATGAATGTGATATGATGCGACCTAACAGAATTGCCGGACTCCTCCTCATCAGAAGTCTCATCTGCCGCGTCGGGCACCACATGTGGTGCTGCTCCCACCCACTCACTCGGAGGCAGCACAACGTCGCCATCCGGATCATACTTCCGGATAGGACCGCCACCGCCAAAAGGAGACTCCTGCGGGATTGTTGTGATAAATGTTGTTCGGCTGTTATTGCTATCATTGCAAACAGAAGCTTCTCTGAGATTATTCAGAATTAAGAAAAGGAGATTGGTTACAACCCAGCATTGCGAAACCATATCATAATCTCCTCCTCATTCGGCTCTGGCACGCTGCCAGCATCATCGCCACCGTATTGAGGATACTCCTGCGGGATCGTTGGTAGGACTGGCATAGGATCTACAGTATTGTGGTTAGGGTTAGTGGTTTGGGTCAGCTTGGAAACAAACATGCAAAACGATGCTGGGTTCTCCTTGGGCACCTTGGGCTCGCTGAGCTCGGAGTCCAGATCTTGAGCCTCTTGAGATCCGTGGTGTTCAAGATCACCACCCATGCCCGTGTCCGGAGCTTCTTCTGGTCCAGCCTCACCACCCAAGCCACCATCACCTCCGTGTTCGGGAGCTTCGTCTGGCTCATTCTGCTGATGCTCCTGCGGAAGCAATGCCAATGTTTGGAGTCGCGGAATGTTCTCAAGGAGTGAATGCTTGATGCTAGATGTTGGATGGATGCTTGTTTTTGTTGTTTTTGGGAAGATGGCTCCTACTTGTATGTGTTCAATGCAAGCTAGAAAGGCAATAACCCATCAGTCCGTGGCCATCTCAGGGTTCAGGAGAGCGTACGGCTGCGCAGGTCGGCCGAAGTTGACCGGAACGAACTGATGGTCGAAGACAACCTCAGTTTATCATAGAACACTGTCCATCATTGATTGTTGTGGCTGATACCTCTGCAATGTATGCTGTATGGCTGTATGTGTTGGTTTTCTGATAATTGCTGTTGTACATTTACAAAGCCCTAGGCCCTAGGCCGTAGGCCCGTTGATCACAGACTGGGCCACAACCGGCGGCCACAACAAAGACTGACCGATGGCACTTAAAGGTTGTAGGGCCAAGTTGTAGGGATTTCTATTTCGTTACTTCCTTTGCCCAGGGTTTGAGTCTGATGCCCAAAAACACTTTAGAATACTATCACAAACAAGAAGATGGGCAGCATCCTGAGCACTACAACCAAGCACAAACTATAGTAACTATAGCACAGTCAGGCAACATCCTCGAGCTGCAGCAGCTCCTGCTCGCCAGTCCCGGGTGGCGTCGGCGTCGGAGCATGATGCAGGTGTGGAGCCATCGTGGGCTTGGGTTTCGGTCGGCCAAATTTTGGCTGCAGGGCAGCTTCGGCCGCAGCTTCGTCTGGATCTCTGCGGCTGGGTCTAACGCCCGATCGCAAAGGAGGTGGCGGAGGCGGAGCCACCCCTTTCACGCGTGCCGGCATGTAGGGGCTGCCGAAGTTCATGGTGGCGGATGGCAGCGAAGCGGCGAAGCGAAGCGAAGGTGATCTTGTAGTCACGTGTAGTAGGCATAGTAGTAGTAGTAGTAGTAGGAGGAGTCTTGTTGTTGCCGCACATGGGACTGTGATGGGTGCTGCAAGCTGACACAACGTTGACACACAAACACCTAGGGCACTGCACTCAACATTTCCTCGGGCCACGCCTATAAGATCGCAAGAGCAGCACATCAAACATGTGTCGACAAGCATGAGTTTGCGTCTCCATCTATGCTTCAACACAAGCTGCCTGCAGGAAAACCGAAATCTTAACTTGCGCCGGTCAAGTGGCAGCCAGTGACAGCCACCAGCCACTGACATTGGCACTCGGTGATCTGGCTGGTAGAGCCTTGGTTCACAAACATACAAACACATCCAAGGGACAAGAGCTAAGGACTGCCGACAATCTGATAATCTACAGTATTCGCTTGTGTAACAGCTAGCTGTGTAACACCTCACATCTCCGAAGCGACCAGGCGACTTGAATAATACATGGCAGCACAACCCATTCCCTTTTTGACTGGACAATGCTTGGTACGCAGGCATGTCTTGGATCGACCTTAATCCACCTTGGAAGCGCTGTGAAACTGTGCTGTTGGACCATGACCATAGCCATAGCGGTTCACAAGTTCGCAACAAGTAGGTCCCTCGACATGATATGACTGTACGTAGCATTGTACATGCTCGAAACTGCTCAAGGTCTGTGGTCCACGGACGGAGTCCATGCACGCAACCTTGGGATCATGAAACTCAGCTCACTACTCTGACTCATTGTCGGAGATTGTTTCAAGGTGCCTTTTCCACGGAACCTGATTTGGGCGTCGCTTCAATACACGGCCGATGACGCTACACACATCCATCTTCTCGCTGATACCGATGTCCTCGCAGTCACGTAGCAAGCGCCGCCACACCCCGTCGGACCAAGACGCCATCTGAAGCAACTCCTCGATCTTGCGTGGCTCCAACGGCTCCGGCTGTTGACTTCTTGCATCCAGCAACAGCTCACCCATGAAACGCCGTATGTCAGGCACTGAAATGGGCATGATCCACACAAGTCACACTGTCTAAGACTCTAAGACTGTCTCAGCGGCCACACGGCCACAGGCTCAGGGGCTTCAATCATGTCCAACGCTATTGTGGGCTTCTTCATATAGCTATAGCATAATGTACCCCAAAACCCTAGTCACACACGTCACCGCTGCTTGAGACTCAAAATTGCTATGATACGACACAAACATTCACGCACATGCCATGGTGCGAGCAATCCAACTGCCAACTGCCTTGATCAGGTACCCGAGTCAATGCCCATGCCCCAGCGTGACCCAAACTGGTGCCAGACAAGCAACAGTGACAATCGCTGACATCCGTTGTCCGTTCTCAGTGAGCTGAGTGGCCAAGCCTGAATTCACATACAAACACATGCTAAGAGCGCAGTGGTGCGGCTAAGTGCTAAAACAGATACACGCAGGCCCTCGCAGGCTCACTCCAACACTCTGTTTGTCCATCCATGATTCCAGAACACTCCGGACTGCAGCTGAGCTACTGTCGCAACCATGCCTTGCAAACCTGGCAGAGCACCGGCGACGTCTCGATGCGCTGACCAATGTCCAGGTTGTCGTCGATGAAGCCGCACAGACTCAGTCAATACAACATGCAGCAACATGAACAACCACGTCAGAATTTGGTACTACAGGATGTCAGCATGAGTCATGACTCCAGTCCCTACTGACGACATGTCACATATTGGTGCAGGCACATCACTGTCACATCACTATATCATTCCAAAAACGAATGTCACATGATGGTCCTGATGGTTTGCCTTTAAAAAACCTTTAACCCCCATGCACCCCGACGCACACCAGCAACGTCAGCAACGTCGTTGCTGACTCATCTTGCGTTCCAAGCGACTGTTGAATGAAAGTGTGCAGTCGTCATATTCACACACACCGAATGATACAGTGAAACAGTGAAACAGTGTTCTTACTGTCGCAGCCACAAGCTTTCAACAACAACCGTCGGTCACTTGCCAACAACTGGCCAACAACAACTATCCACTGTCCGGAACCAACGACAAACATGACAACCGTGGCACACATATCTCACGACATGTTGTAGAACAAACAGTGCTACAATGCTGCTGGAGCTGAGAAACGATCCCCAGGAAGAACCCACAGCCACACGCGCTGCCGATGATCCAGAAGCTGGCTCCACCGTTGCAAGAATGATGTTTGGCAACTGGTGCAAATGCAGACGTGGGACGCAACTGAATGTAGCTGACCGCTGTGTGGCTGCTTGTGTCATTCTGGTCGTGCATGATGTGTGTGCACTGAGCAAACATAAAGCGCACTGCTCGACAGGAGCATGTGTGTGGCCGCATACTGAGCAGGCACAATGCTGCTCCGTTTCATCGAAGAGAACCTGCTCGTCCATATCTCGCGAATGCAGAGACACTGCCAACTTGAACATTCGAAAAAGCCTCAGGGCAGGTTGTGGCAAAGGCGGTCGCTTGTCTTTCTTAACTCGCTTGACTCCTTCACCCACAGCTGGAAGAATAATATCTCTGACCGCGAAGTCGCGCGGGCGTGATGCAAAATTCACAGGACATATGATGCGGTCCAGATCGTCTAAGAAAACCTCTCGACCCATGGAAATGTTTCGTCGCGTCCACTGCACCAGATGCACGTCCGCCGTTGCATTCGCATCGTCACCATCAATCTCCAGAAGAAGCGTAAGCTCACCTCTCATTAAGGCAAACCACACCACAAACATGCAGCACTGGAGTCACTGTACTATTACGGGACGACGGAAAGATATCAAAACAAACAAGTGCAACTCAACTCTGTGAGACTGGATCGGCTTGACCGTGAAACTGTGAAACTGTGAAACCAGTGAAACGTCTCACCAGTGAACCCAGTGAGAGGAAGATATCAACAAGTGAAACTCAGCTCTGTGAGACTGGATCGGCTTGACCGGACTCTACTGTGAAACTACAAAGGTGAAACCGGGAAACTGTGAAACCAGTGAAACGTCTCACAAGTGAACCCAGTGAGACCCACTTATGAAGCAGATCTATCTTTCCGTTTTGTACTACAGCAAGGTTCGCCAAAGGACCAATCAGATGGGCCCGGTCGTGAAACTGTGAAACATCAAGGGACTATCAAACAAAAAAACTAACAACGAGTGACTTCGTGAATTAAACACAGCCCACGGCTCATGCCTGCTATCGGCAAGTAGAAACATGAACCCTAGGCAGCCCGGATGCTGTTGTCGCCCAACGGTCTCGTGCACTCTCTGTCACGATGTTGTAGAGCTTCGCAGGTCATCCGCATCGCAGCCTGCCATTTCTGCCAGAACGATTTGGCATCGTCATCATCTACAGTCCGCGGCTGGGTTGCCGCACCTGATGCTTGATCACCCTGATCAGTTACGACATCCGGTCGCAAGCTGGAGGAATGCACCTCGTCCTCGTTGATGGAAGTTTGGCCCAACCCGTTCACAAAAAGCTCTTGCAGAAAGGCTTCGGTCTCTTGATCTACTGGCGCCAACACACTGGATGCTTCAGCAGCAAGAAGCTCGTCATGGCGACCTTCCACCTTGGTGCCCATGCCGGGAAGCTTCATGTCTGCCGCTGTTGCTGCGATCTTCACGTTCAAGCCCTCCAGCTCAGCCATGTCATCTACGTCATCTTCGTCGTTCCCTTCGTCACCAAAGTCATCCAACCCCAGCAACAGACGCATGAGCTGTTCATTGTCTAGGCGGTTCGTTTCCTGGCCTTGGGACCCCGGCATATTCTCGTCGACGTCGTCCCCAAGCATGTCAGCGTCGTCATCGATGCCGTCGGGATCACGGTCATCGCCGTCGCCACCTGAGTCCTGATCATCCAATGGATCCGTCCTTTCAGCCCGCTGGTACCGAGCACGTAGCCGACACAATTCCTGCACAGCCCCAGCAGCGAGCCCCTGGCATGGAAACCTCCTGTATGTACAGGATGTTGTGATGCCGCTTTTCAGCTACACGACTGTGTAGTTTCGCAATGAGCTGCGCACTGAGCATAAACGAGGAGGTTGCACCCCCTGGTTCTTGTCGGAAGAGCATTGCCTGTGACCGAGTCACTCCACAACTGTTGAAACTAAAGGCTTCTCAAGCCTTCCTTCCCACTCTACTCGCAAACACACTTTTCTCACTTCGCGGGCTGACTTGCTTAAGCCTTCGTGTCGCGGTTCACACACATGTTTCATGTGTTCTCGTGATTCCTCTACACACTCTACTTGGGACTACGTGCACTAGGTTACAAACGAACACCCCGCCTCAGAAAGTTCTTGCGGGTTCCTAGGGTGTTCTTGGAAACTGCTAGGGCTTTCTGTACAGTGCTTTTGCTAGGGACTTTCGTCTCCGTTGTTCTTGGTCTTTTACCTAGCTGCACTCCTGCCCTGTTGCTACTTAGGCCTTCTATGTCTGTACATTGGCCTTCCTGAAAAACCTACTCTGTATATACAGCTACGTTCTAGTTAGGTCCAGCCTATGGACTCTTTGCGGGGAGGCCCGTACCCCGGTTTCCTTCTGCCCTTACGTAGCCTACGGGCTTTTCTTCTTTCGGGCTTCTTCTCTTTGTTTTTGGCTTCTCCGGCTTCTTGCCTCTTCTGGCCCTTGTACCTTCCTAGCCTGCCTTTTGTGAAACTTCTTGTGAGACTTTGGAAGGTTGTAGCTTACCTAGGCTTACTGCCCCAGTTTGCTACGTCTATACATTTGCTCACACTTTGTACATGAATTCTTGTGCTAGTATACATCAAGTCTTACGTTGCTTAGCTATGTACATATGTACAAGCGTTCACTGCTTGACCTGCTCGATCATCCCTTCTCGGGATCCTTTCACTGGGTCTGCACCCAGTTCTTGGACTTCTTGCCTTTACCCTTTCCTTTGGGTGTCCACTGGTCCCACTGGTTCTGCTGCGCCCACTCTTCTGGCGTCTGCCAGTAGCCTTTGTTCTGGGGGTTCGCGTTCTCGTACCAGTTGCTGCCGTCGTCGGTGGTGCTCCAGTTCTCGTTGTTCCACTGGTCGTTGTACCACCAACCGTCGTTGTGTCCGTCGTCCCAGGAAGGGCCTTTTCCCTTCGTTCCTTGGTTGTCGTGCTTGCCCTTCGCGTGGATGCGTCGCTGCACCTCTTCCTCGATCTTCTCGTTCTCCTTGGTCTCGAGGAATTTATCCAATTCCTTTCCGTCTGTAAACCAAATGTTGTGTTTCCTGTAGCACTCCGTCACCTTGTTCCAAAGGAGGCGGCCTTTCACCGGAGCGTTCTTGATTCTTGGGGCTCCTTTCTTGTCCTCACACTTCGCGCGGTACTCCTGCGTCTTCTTGTTGAACTCCCACACGTAGCCAAGCTGTGTGAACTCGGCTATGTCGTTCGGGTCGACGGTAGTTTCGTCTCCTTGGTTGCTTGACGGCTTCTCTTCTTGGTCTTCTGTCTCTACCTGCTTTGGCCTTTTTCCTTTCTTCTTCTCTTCCTCTTTTGCCTTAGCCTCTGCCTTCTCTTTCTCTTCCTCTGCTTTGCTCTTGTACGCTTCTTCTGTCTCTTCTTCACCTTCGCTTCCAGACAAGGTTGCACCTAAGGTTTCCTTGAGGCTCTTGACCTTCTGCTTGTACTTCACGATCTTGTCCTTAGCTGCAAGTAGAAGTGCGTCCACTTCCTGTGAGTAACCTTTGAAGTACTGGTAGTCGTCCTTGAGGCTCTTGTAGTCGTACTGGAGGTCGTCGAGCTTCTGGTTCCTTACTTTCTCTTCTTGCTTTAGCACTTTAAGCTCTCTCTCCAAGTCCTTCTTTGCGTCGTCAACGTACTTCTTGGCGTACTCTTCTCTCTCCTGGTCGTAGCCGGCGGTTCTTTCCTGGGCTTTTCTCTCTCTCTTCTCTGCCTCTTTCTTCTTCTTTTCAACCTCTGCTTCCTTTGCTTTGACGTTCTCCTCAGCTTCTTCGAGGGCTGTCTCCTTCTCGCTTAAGACCTTGGCTTGTTCTTGGAGGGTCTCTTGGTCTTTCTCTAACTTCTCTTCTCTTTCTGTAACTTTGTCTTCCTTTTCCTTCACCTCCTTCTGCTTCTTCAAAAACCTTTTCACTGTCTCCTCAAACTCTGTCTTTTGGTTTCCGAACTGCTCCTTTTCCTTCTCCAGGCTTTCCTCAGCTTTCTTCAACTTCTCTGCTCTCTCTGTCACTTCTTTCTTTGCCTCGTCGAAGGAGTCCACGTCGTAGTTCACCTGAGCGGCAGGAGCTTCGTCTCTTTTCTTCCTTCGGTTCTTCTTCTTCTTTTCCTTCTCTCCACTTCTGCTTCCTGAGCTGCTTTCCTCTTCTTCACCGCTGCTCCTCTCTTCTCTCTTCGGCTTCTTGTGCTGCTGTGGCTTTCTCATCTCGTTCACGACAAACCATGCCGCCATGCACACCATGGCGAGCGTCACCAGGACTTCCAGAAGCGACATGCTTCCAGGACTGCTTGGGACTTCTTGTGGGCTTGCTACTTCTTGAGCTGCGGCGAAAGGTACGTTGGCTGCCTCAGTCTTTCCAAACAAACTCGAAAGTGCAAACAACATGCTGCTTTTGTTCTTCATGATCTTCTCGAGTCTTCTCACCACTTGTGCCTTTTCTTCTTCCTCTCGCTCTTGCTCTCCAACTCTTCCTTCGCTGTTGCACATGCCGATCATGTTCAGGAGAAACTTCACTCTTTTCGTGCTGAGAGGCTTTGTTCCTAGGTCTGCTGTGTTCTCCTTTGTACCGACTGCGTGTACAGTAAGCTTGCCTTCGCGTATTGCTGCTTGTAGCCAAAGTAACCGAATCTGCAGGTGCTTGACTCTTCCTGTTCCTTGGCGGTTTGTGATTCCGCGGCATGCGGAACTGTCTGTGTATGCTTTGAGTAGTACTCGTTCTCCTGTAAGGAAACGAACTGCTGCGTGTAAACCTATCCCTTCGCTTGCTGCTCCAGTAAGTGCCATGTATTCTGCTTCTGCTGAAGATAATGCTATCGACTTCTGTGTCCTGCTGTAGCTGTAGAAATATGCACCGTCCAGGTAGAACATGGCGCAACTCACTGACTTCCTAGTCTGCTTGTCTCCGGCCCAGTCGGAGTCGCTAAAAACTTCCAGCAAACGTTCGCGTGGTTGTTCTCGAGGTTCTTGTAGTTCTTGTGGTTCTTCGGCGCGGTGACGTAGAGCTGACGTTCCTGGGCTGTTCCTGTGGTACGTAACGGCGTAGTCTGACGTTCCTTAATTTGAGGTAGAGCGCCAAGTGTTCCAACTCCTTTCTCTTGCGTTCCGTTGGCTTCGTCATGGCAGTACTGAGGCTACGTACTGCGAACTGAATGTCCGGACGGTCGTGCGCTACGTACAGCAAAATGCCGACACAAATTCTGTACGTTCTCGAGTGTTCCTCGTCCAGTTCTTGGGATACGTCAGGTTCCTGACTAGCCGGTGTGCAGGGTGAGTTCTTGGCCTTCTTCTTCTCCAGCTTGAGGATCTCCACGAGTTTCTTCACGTACTTGCTATCGCTATGTACTCGTAGTTCATGTTGTTCGTACGTGTACTTCCTTTTGAGAAACTTCACGGTCTCCTCAGAAAATCCTTTCTCGTAGTCTTCCTCGTTCAGAAGAGGTCCTTCAACTTGTAGGTTCACTTTCTTCTTGAGGTTCCTGAGGATTGGTTCGATGACTTCCTTCTTTCCTGCAAACTGCAAGTCATCTACGTGCACAATGCAAACTGCAACCACTTTTCCTTGTCGTAGAAGACGGTAAAGTGCTGGAACTGCTGTACAACGCTCAAACTTCTCTTCCACCAAAAGACCATCACAAAAGTCTGACCAAAGACTGGATGCGTCGCGTTGACCTGGCAAAACTCTTCCTAACTTCCAACACCAAGTTCCAGGGTTGCGTTCTTGTTGTTCCTGCATTGCCTGTACGACGTGTGCTGCTTCTTCAGGTACTCGACACAAACAAGGTGTTCTTTGAGGGACTTGTAAAAACGCGTCCTTCACGTCGACACTGTAGATCGCCCAATGGTTGGCGAGAGCCAACATGGGCACCAGTTTTGTAATTCCTGGGCTTGTCGCAGGAGAAAATATATCTTCCCTTTTTCCTTCTGTCTTGTATTCTCTGGCTACTAGTCTGGCACGTCGTTGCCAGCATCTTTGAATCTGCTTGGGCTTTGTTGTTCCTTCTTTGGCTTCTTCAGCTTCAAAACCTGTAGCTTCTCTGAACCTCCAATCTTTCACCAACTTCGTTGTCAACCACTTGTGAAGTTCTTGCTCTGAATCTACCAGAGGTACGTTCTCAGTTGCTTCCTGAGGGTCCGTAGAAACCAACGAAATAACTCCCATCTTTGTTAACCTCTTGATTTCTTTGACTGTAGCTTCATCATCCAACTTCTGAAGAAAAGCTGGATCCACGTTCGGTGGTCCTTTCTCCTCGTCGAAGAACTCGACAGGGACCTTGGTAGAAACTTCCGTTGGTTCACTCTCTGTCTCCTCTTCTTCTTCTTCCGACTCGTACACAAACTCATCATCTGCTTCGTAGACTTCATCATCATGAGGCATGTTGAGGTAACCGTCTGTTTCCTCTGCTCTGTTAACTTGCTTTCGTAGCTTGCTGGGGGAGCTTGGTTCCTCAGGCTCAAGGCTGTGCTTGCTTGCTTCTGCTCTTGGTTCAGCTGGTGCTGAAAGTGCTTCTGCTGAGGCTGTAAGTGGCTCAACTGCTCTGAGTTCCTCCAAAAGGGTATCGTCATCAACTTCAGCTCTTCTTTCCTGTCTCTCGTCACACTCATGCTGCTGGCTTCACTTTGTTCCTCTCTGTCTTCAAGTGCTCGTTGCTGCTCTTCACTGCTGTCCTCCGAACTCGGAGGGTCGCTAGCGGCCTCGTCGTTCTCGAGCTGTTCGCGTTCTTCCTCGGCAACAGGGGGCAGGATGCTTAGCTGTGGTCGTTGTCTTTGCTTCTTCTCTGGAAGTACTCTTGCTCCAAGGAGTGGTGTGTTGAGGTTCCAGGTATGGACCTCTATGCTGCTTGTTCTTTTGGAGTCGTACTGTTCTGGTAGTGGTCTCACGCTGCGTGTGATATGTATGCCATCAGGCTGTGCAACGATCCATGTGTCTTGCTCTGTCTTGCCTAAAAATATTCCTGCGTTCCATATCCTGTCACCTTTCTTCTTGATCTTCAACCTCTTCGCCATCACAACAGTACCAAAGGGTACAAGTTTCCCTGAGTAGGGGTATCCGTGGATAACTTCCTGTGGCGTTCTTCCTGTGGAGCTGCTCACTGCGAACCTGTTGAGTAGCCAGCAGGCGTGTCTAAACGCCCAGCTTACTACTGCGTGCTCGTGTGGTATTGCCAGCTGTGTTCTTTCTCTGAGTTCATCGAGAATGGTGTTCGCTTGCCTCCGTACTGTTTGTATTGCTCTTTCTGCGGCTCCATTGCTTTCGTGGTCGTAAGGAATGCTTTCCTGTAGTGTTGTAGAAAGTCCAAGGCTGCTGCGTACTTTCTGTACTTTGTCCTTGAGTGCTTTGGCTGCGTTCTCGTTGTCTGCTTTGAGAACGAGGGTGTTGTACCCGAGCTGCGTGGTGAACTGCACGAGTGCTTCCGCGAGATGCGTCGTGCTTCCTGCACCTCCTTTCCTCTTGCAGGGCACCGAAAGAACTGCCTTGCTCCAGCTGTCCACAGCGACAAGAGTCACTGCTGGTGGCTCTTCACTTCCTGTGGTGCTTGTATAGCAAAAGTCAAAACTGATGACGGGCTTCGCGGAATCCGTAGAGCTGCTTGGCTTGCTCAATCCCTTCTTGTGGTTGTCTTCTCGTGCTTTCATAGCAACGCAATGGGGACACCAAGGCTGATACGGAAGGTGCGTCAAGTTGTGGTACGCTCTCTCCTCTTCCGTTGGTTCCTGTGGTGGTGCTAGGTGGTATGCTTGGTGGTGTTCCCGTTGTTCCTTGTGTTGCGTGCTGAGCCTTTCTTCTCTGACTGCTGTGGCGAGTCTCTTCAAGAGCTGCTTCTTGCTTCCTGTTGTCTTCACTCTGTACTCTCTGCAAAGTGCTTGTAGTTCCTTAAGACTGCTTTTCTGCGCTGTGTACTCGACGCCTTCGTGGTAGAAGCTTTCCTCCAAAACTTCAACAACTTCTTGTGGTGCTTCTTGGTCTGCTGGTGCTTCTCTCATCTCTTCGTCTTTACTCTCCTGCGCTTCTGGTGGTGCTGCTGAATCTTCCTTCTCTTTGTAGTGTTCTTCCTTCTTCTTCTTTAGCTCCTCTGCTGCAGCTTCTGCTTTTAGGTCTTCAACAACTTCTGGCTTCACGCGGAACCTTGTTTGACCAAACCACGGCAAACGAAAGTGTTCACGTAGAGGTAGGCGGTCTGCTCTCCAGTCGTCGCTGTGTTCGTAGATCTCCGTACTGTAGATGCAGTCTCCTTGGGTATACCTGCTGTTCTCAAGATCTCCAAGGAGGACAGGACAGTTGGCAACTCCTGTCGGGTCAAACAGCACAGTTCTAGGTACTACGTGGTGACGAACAACTTCTCCCTTCTCGAGGTCCATTTTCCAGTAGTCACGACCATGACTTTCTTGCTCAGCTCGATCTCCAGCTGCGTAAGGGGTGCCAAGGATCCAAAGTGGAATTGGCTTTGCTGAAATGGCTGTAACCACTTCCTTTTCTCCTTCTGCAAACTCTTCAAAAGGGTCTGCCTTCTCGGAGTACTTCTTTGAAACTTCAACTGCTCTCCATCCTCTCTCTTCTTTCACCAAAGTGCTTCTGTACGGAAAGTGCGTAGGACTATACATGAGAGATGGGTTCTCGTAGCTGCTTTGAGTAGCATACTTCACGATCACCATGCTGTCAGTGTTGTGCCAACCAGGTTCTTCTTTGTTCACTGCTTCCTGAACGTGCTTGTTGAGCTGAACAACTGTCCGAACCATCTTGTAGTTGTTGCTGCTGTAACTTTTGCTTCTTGAAGGAGTTTGTACGTAGGCGTAGGCTGCCAAGCTGTTCTTGTGGAGATGCACTGGTATTCTTGAGCTTCCGTCTGTAAGACACATACCTTCTTCTTCGTTCACTCGCAACTCCCAGCCTTCTCGAAACAGCTTGCCTATGGCCATCAGCGGGTTGATCACCGAGGCAACGGTGAAGGCTTCCTGGATGCGACAAAAGCTTCCGTCGTCATCAAAGAACGTTAAGTTCAGCATCCTTCTGCCTTCCGTCTTTATTGCTTTTCCTTGTGCGTCCTGAATGGACGAAGGGCGAACCTTCAAAGGGGTTCCTTCTTTTCCTAGCCAAGAGGGCACAAGAGAAACGTCTGCGCCAGAATCCAGGATAACTTCGATTCTTTGGTGAAGATCACTTTCCTGGAAAAACTCTTCCTCTACAACGCGTACTGAAAGAACTTCTTGTGGTGGTAGTGCTTCACGTCCAAGGTACCAGTTTAGTAGAGGATCTTCTTGCTCTTCTCCGCTCTCTTCTCCTTCTGACAAAACAAACTCTTCAGCTTCCGTCACTCTCAAGACTCTTCCAAAGTACTCGATCTCGAGCTCTTCTTCGTCTTCGTCAAGTTCAAAAACTTCAGGGTACGTGACGGGATCGTTGTCCATGTGGTACATCGCGATCTGCCGAACTGTTGGCTTAGCTGTAGACTTCGCGCTTGTAGTTCTTGTTGTTGTGGCTGCCGAAGCGCTACTGCTTGGAACTGTGGTAGGCTGTGTCCTGACGCTTTGCTCGTCTTCCTCCTGTGCGTTCCTGACGTTCTGCTGCATGTCTCTCTGCTTGAGTCTGCAATTGGCTTCGTAGTGTCCAGGCTTTTGGCAGTAATGACAAACACCAATTCCTGGGTTGTTGTAGCCTTTACCTTTTCCTTTGCTGCTGTAGCCTTTTCCCCCGCCTTTGCCATATCCTCGGCCTCTGCCTTTTCCTTTTCCTTTTCCTCGTCCTTTTCCTTTTCCTCGGCCTTTGTAGTAGTACTGGCTTTCTCCTTTTCCTTTTCCTTTGCTGAAGCCTTTGCCTTTGTACTTGCCGAATCCTTTTCCTTTCTTTCCTTTTCCTTTGTCTTTTCCTTTGCCTTTCCACCATTCAACTCGTGAAACATCCATGTCTGCTTGTCCTTGGTGGTCCTTTCCTGAGTTGATGAGGTCTGTGGTAGTCCACCTTGCTGCTTGCTCGTAGGAGAGGAGGTACTGTCGTAGTGTTCCATACTTTGTGGTCTCCTTCTGGTTGAGTAGAAGGTGCTGTCTCATGTTACCTTCAGTTCCTCCAAGAATGATGGAAATCTTCATGTCGTCCGCAACAAGGTCTCCACTCGCTCTCTCGTACTCTTCAATCAACTCCTCAAACTTCAGAATATTTTCTTGTGTTGACCTTTGCTTGTCGAACCTGTAGTGAAGAACTCCGTTGAGTAGTTGTAGAGAACGTGCACGGTTGTGAGGCTGATGCTCCTCCACCAACAACCTCCATGCTTCGAAACCGTTCTCGTTGGGTACTTGCTTTAGAGTTCGTAGAGGACGGCCACGTGTGTAGCTGGTGAGGATGGAATGTAGCTTTCTTGAAAGTGCTTGTTCACCTGGGTTAAGTCTGTTCCATTCCCATGATGCTTCTCTTCTATCCATCTCGACTGCGTTGATCTTCTCAAGGATGTCGTTGTTGAGAGCGCCTATCCAACTTCTCAGCTTCAACCGAAATTCTAGAAAACCATCACGCTCTTCCTTGTACGTAGTAGGGCCAAAGACTTCTGGAGATTTGATCATCTTGTGGAGGTCGATCTCTCCTGGCCTTCTTGACTCTGCGTGCTGCGACAGTGCTGTAACTGCGTCTGCTGTAAGCTTTCCTGTTGCTGCAACCGCGTTTGCAGTAAGCTCTGCTTGTTGTGACAGTGCTGTGTTGGTTGCTTGGGTTGCTTCTGTAATTGCTCTCTGCTGTTGTGAAACTGACTGCGCGAGTTCCTGTAGTTGTTGTGAAGCGGTACCTGCCTGCGCTTGCTGACTGTTCATTGCTTGGGCAAGTGCTTGTATCTGTTGTGTGTTTTGGGCAGTAAGGTCCGTGAGCCTTTGCAAGGCTTCCTCCATCGCAACTGCACTCTGCATGTGACTGTAAAGCAACACAACATGCAACCAGACTCGCTTCTTGAAAAGAACGCTGCAAACTGACCTGTGCAACTTCCTTCTCGAAACTTTCTTCTTCAACTGTTCTCTTTTTGTTTGCTTAACTCTGACCCAAAAATAGAGGTAGATCCAAGTGACCACCAAGCGGGGTCCCAAGTAGAAGTAGTACTGGGTGACACGTGCGCACGACGTAGCTCACGACGGGCTCAAGGCTTCTTCCTGCTTTCGCAAGGTACTCTTGAAACTCCAAAACCAACTCAAACACAAGGTTCTTGTAGTAGTTCACGTGGGGCACTCCTTCGTTCTTTAGGTTCTCGTTATACTCCGCGACATCACCTTCATGAAAACTGTAGTTGCAACTTTGTTCTTTTTCTTCTGTTCTTGTAGAACTCGGAGTACATGTTCGTCTTCTTGAGGTAGCTCGTGACGTTGATCTCGTTCTCGTTCTCGGTTTGGTATTGGGCTCATGTAAATGCGACCACAACGTGAAAAGTTCTGTGTGATCACCTTCTTGGCTCTTCCCGGCAGGTACAACATCCGCTGGGGTAATCTCCTTTATCACATGCTTCTTCTTGGGGTTCTTGTTGTCGAGGCTGAGGACCTTGTTCCTGTAGTTCAGCATGCGGTTCGTGGCCAACGGGTAGCCGTAGGTCTCGTTCACTTCAAACACCATGAACCATGACATGCCCATGAGAACCACAACCATAAAGACTTTTAGCCAAAAGTACTTTCCTGCTGCTTCCAGAAAGGTTCTCTTGTACTCGAAGGTGCGTTGTTCCCGGGATCGGAGTCCGCCGGGACAGCAGTACTTGCATGGTAGTACTCGGTGTACGCTGGTTGCGTTCCTGAGGCCATGACATCTTCCTGAGGTGTGGGTCTTCTCTCCGTAAGGTGAGTACCAGAGTTCTGGCAACTCTTCCTCAGCTGGAGCTACGCGCTCCACCGTCTCCTTTCTCACAAGTTCTTTCACAAAGCTTCTCGCCAGACACATCAGCGAAAAAGCCAAAGCCAAGGAAACCATGGCGACAGCTACCTGTTGTTCCTGTGATAGCTTCATCGCTCCCAAGAGGTCTGAATCAGGGAGCTCCGCTACCATGTTGAAACTAAAGGCTTCTCAAGCCTTCCTTCCCACTCTACTCGCAAACACACTTTTCTCACTTCGCGGGCTGACTTGCTTAAGCCTTCGTGTCGCGGTTCACACACATGTTTCATGTGTTCTCGTGATTACTCTACACACTCTACTTGGGACTACGTGCACTAGGTTACAAACGAACAACAACATATCCAACGTTCAAACTCGGCTTCGTCGGCTTCGTCCGCTGGTTGATGATCACAGCAAAGACTTGTTGGCACCAGCAGTGCAATCCAAGTGTCCGAGTGATCTTTGTTGTGTGCCCTCACTGCTTTCATGAAAGTTGCATTGTACTTCAGGGCCCATGAGTGTTCTGGGGTGGGTCTCGCAGCTGGGTTGTATACTGCAGGATCAGCAGGTGTGAGACGCGCTTCTCCGCAAGTGTGCCATCGTGCTTCATCTGCCAAATACTCTTTGTGCGGCCCGTGCTGCAGATAGGCAGATTTGGCAAACGCCGCCGCGACCGGCACCACGTCCTTATATCGCCAGCCGACTGCATGCAATGCCAGCAGCTTCCGCGTGAGCACCCTTGAAGATAGGAGCTCCAGTGTGATCCTGTTGTTGCCCGATCTTGCAACTTGATGTTTAACCATACTGTTTAAAGACTCCAGCTCCTGCACATCCAGTCGCAGCATGCTAGCGCTGAGCAGCAATGAAGCTCTGAGGCGGCCATTCATGCGGAGACGTCCCGTCACCGCGACCTCTTCAAGCTCTGCCCAACATGATGTACGGATTTTCCGTGTCGTGCACTCGAGCACTTGCTCGCTGCTGTCCAACAACTCACGTGCCACACCTGATGACTCATGACTCATGACTGTCATGACTGAGAGGACAGGATAATTCGGAAGTTCAATTCAAGCAGATGCCTAATTTAGCCTAAGCCTAATTAACAAATAACTTAACAAAGTAGCCGCCGCCTTTGCGCTTGTCGCATGCATCTTGAGGCGCATTCTTCAACATCCAGAAGATACGGAACGGCCACCTGCAATAGTTCTGCAAGAAGGCCGATGATTCGATGATGATGATGATGATGTGGACCGATTAGAGATTAGAGATTAGAGTCTAGAGTATCGATTCTGTCAATGATATCGGGTTATAAGTACAAAGATGGACTTGCTGACACGGGTCTGAGAAAACAAGCCCACTATCCTGCGCTTGTAAGAGGCGTGGTTCAGCATCACCACCCGCATGGCCATATGCTGCAAATCTTCCAGTAAAAGTGCATGGTTTGCATCCCAGCAGATCATCCCTTGCAGAGACGCAAGGGTTCGTTCGCACCAGCAAGGTATGTTGTTGCGCAGGTCATGAAATTCGTCATCAAGCTGCACAAGCCGAACCGTAACAAGATCCACTATGGGCAGTTCATGCGCTTCACAGTCCGTGCACGGATTGCGGATTCTACTCGACGCATGGCCACTGTACTTGCTCAGGATAGCAAACATATGGCGGAAGGGTGACCGCGACATGAAGGATACTTGCAAGAGGAACCAAAACAGCGTATCTTGCAAGCAAAGCAATGAGCCTTTGATCCACTTGGTTACCTTTGATCGGTATTCAGCTGCCTCTTCCAGGCCCAGTTCGTCCACATCGTGTTCCAGCGCCGACTGGTCTTGACGTTGAGCGTTTCGTTCCAAGTAGGCATTGTACTCCCCCGTGGCGAAGGTTGCAAGGAATGTTCTCACGACGTAATCGGGAGTAGCAGCATGAAGGAAATATTCCTCTGCACCTCAAATCAACCAGAAACATTGAAGTTAAGAACACCTAACAACTAGTACTAAGAGCTGAGATCATAGCTGAATGCCGCCAGCATTATTCGGCCTTTCACGCAGACGAGCGACAATCAATGGAACCCCATCTTCCAGCGACAGCTAAAGGAGGGACCGTGCAGGAAGCTTTGAATTCAAATGCTCGAGGAACGATTACGTTCCACGTCTGGTTGACTTTGGCGCCGTGAGCACGCCACGTATGGCATACCTTCGCCACTGAGCCGAAGTAGTTATAGCTTCTGCCCTTCTCTTCAAGCAGTTGGTTAAGCAGTCGCAACGAGTCCTTGCACATCAGATGCAGTTGATGCTTCAGGCAGGGAACCTCGAAGACCCATTGGTTCCAGAAAGCAGGTGCTGCGAGCACAGTCCGAATAGACGCTCGGAAGCTTGCTTGATCGGGACCACAATCGCCGGAAAGACACCACACATGAATGTGGCACTTGGGCAATGCACCTGTCCTGAATTGAACTAACAAAGTGAAGCAACAGTGCACAACTCCGTAGGACTGTATGCTGTATGCTGTGTAACAAAGAGACAATCATACTAACGACCGACGACTGCCGACAACAATCTAGGTCGAGGTTGAGATGATGTTTCATGATGATGATCATGATCATGATGATGGTGCTGGCACTGTGAAATTGTGAAATTTATCACTTAAAGACATACTGTCAGCAGAGTGTCCTGGTCATCTCTGCAAATTCGTCCCATGTGGGCACTTTGATGCTGTTGAGCTGCTTCAACACAATCGCAAGATTGTTGGCGGCTGTTCCAGTCGAGCACACTTGCAGATCACACCTTGGGCAACGAACACATCAACAACGTCTACGATATGGCTGCCACATGTCAGTCTGTTTTAACCAAGGTGTATGGAACTTGTTGTCAGACACAATAATCAGTTGCTGTGGATTGAGGACCAAATTGTCGGTGATGTTGTTTCCTCGGTTCTCAGTTGTACTTTTGTTTTGTATTGCCGGGCCGAGACACACTGTGTGGTGGAACACGAACGCTTGCAGGAACTGGTTGAGACTCTCGATACGGCGCCCATGCGTCATCGTGCCAGTCGACACAAGGAGGCCTTGAAGCTTGTTCCGCCTCCATATGCCACTGTTCGTGGCATCCCCGCAAAACGAAGTTGACGACAGTGAATATGATGCATCAGCCCCAGCACGCCTATTGTCTGAGTCAAGTGGCGTGGCTACCCAGCCTGATATCCCACTTCTATCCCCGTCTGGGTCTGGGTTCAACCCGAGATCACGCTCCACCAGAACCTCATGCGAAATACACTCCTCGGAAGCGGCAACAGCAAAGGCCGCCACCTGCGTGTTATCGGGAGGGTCGGTGTTGCTGGACTCATTGGTGGACTCATTCCACGAGTTGAACCACCCCGCCACCATACGCAGATTCCGTCGCATAGCGACATGAAAAGCAGCCGATCGGGTTGTCAGCATTGCCCAAACAGCAGTTTCGCTTCGTGTCACTGTCTGCCGTGATACATCCACAAGTGCAGCCAACGGAAATCCCACCGCTGACGTGACCGACAAGCTTTTGCGGATTCCAAGTGCTACGTATCCTTTTGAACTGAACCTCTTCCCTTGCTTACCGGCTTTGGTGGTTTTCTCAACGCACAGGATCTGCTCGTCAGTCTGGTCTCCGGCTTTCTGAATCTGCAATTGCAGTTGCTTCTCGAGCTTCTTGTTTGCAGCTACAGTTGTTCGCTGTTTCTTTTTCGCTGCCTTGAGATCTATTTCTTGCCTTGCACATTTGGCTTCCAGCTGATGAATTCGCTGGATCAGAAAACTACGATGGATCGTGTCCATGTTGCCTTTGATCTGGTCCCATGTCAGCCTTGTTCTTTTCGAAGTCGAAGTTGACTGTGTTGCATCATCATCATCTGTTGGATCCATCAACACCAATTGTTGTTGACTGCTGTCACTATCGCCGTGAACAGCATCACCACCACTGGTGGGCTGACTGGACTGACTAGGCACACTGGGCTGCGGCTGGCTTCCCTGACTGGCACTGCTATTGGCCCTTTGATGTTTCCTCATACCCTGCACCCGCGATGGCCCGAATGGCTGAGAAACAGTCTCGTGCATACGAACCAGTGTGCAGGCCACCGCCGATTCGTTTCGATGTTGTCTTGCCTGAATCTCACGCCGAATGCATGCGTCCACATCCAATGAGACTGGCTGTAGCAGCGGAAAAAACGCCACTGAATAGAACATCTCGTTCGATGCCACCGATCGCAATGCCGTTGTCTGCTGGCCCGCTGCAAGTTGCAACAAAGCCTGAAAAGTTGTAGCACCGTGACGTCTTGCGACATTAGCTGAAGATGTTCCGCTTTGCAAGGAACTCAGATGTTGGGTCCACCTCGGTTACATGATAAAACACTAAAACACACTAAAACACATCGAACAAAAGGATTTAGATTCAACAATAACAAGAACTAGCGGGTGACACTATGAGAGTCTCAAACATACAAGATATATCAACAGTATTCGGAATTCCAAGCAGCTGGCAACGGGTGAGACTGAGACAGGTGAGTGAGACAAGTACACAACAGGATTCTGAATCAATTGACGTTAATGCGTGAGACTGTGAGACAAGACAAGCGATGCCGTGGTGAGACGTGAGACTGCGAGCCAGGTACTACAGTGAGACGTGACGGTGAGACATTGAATGACGAGCCACTCTGACTCTGTGATTGCCAAAAAAAAAACGTGTACTGCTGCTGCTCGTCATCGCACGGCGATGAGCATAACGTCGCGAGCTTCAGCAATCGAATTAGTTTGGTCGACATGGCTTGCTACCCTAGAAACCTGTTGCAATGGATGGAACCTATCTATTTACGACTCTTGTATCTGTCGTCTTGCCTGAACGAGTAATGAAACTATACGTGTTGATTTGGAGATGCATTGCGAACGCAAGCTATCCATATAACAAAAAGAATGGTCCAATACATTTTGCTGCAGCCTGACCCATGGCAATCACACTTCCAAGTGTTATATAGGACGCAACAAAAAATGCAATGGCATCATAAATGACGGCTATCAGAACATGTCCAGGCAAGAGAAAAAGCCATCTAAGAGCGAATTTCAATTGATGCTACATATCTAAGACTGCACTGTGATTTTCTTACCATAAGAAAAATCCAATGGCTCCCCTAGTCTTGAAGCTGCTCCAGTCTGATGGAAGTCTGCTGGGCGTCGGCCGGGCGATGTGAGCGACACTTCAAACCCTATACCAGACCCAGCCCACCAGTGGACATGCTTATGCTTGGGGTTTTAAGGTTTAGGATTTTTCGGGTTTAAGATGCTTAGCCAGGGTGTGGGGGCTTGAAGGTTGCAGGCCTGAAACGGGCGTTTGCAAGGAACCGTCTTGACCCAAAGCCGACGAACGAACCCTCCACAAACCCCAAACCTTCGGCCCTAAACCCTGCGACTGGACGACCGAAGAGTTCCATATCCCTGACACTCCGCAGCACCTAAGAAGTGTAGAAACTCATGAACTCCAGAAGCTCTGAACCAAAATCTCAACTTGTAAAACACAACTACTTTGGAGGTCTGAACAGAGATCTTAAAGAAGGCATGAAAGGAACATTGCCAAAATGTAGGGAATAGCAGGTTAACGTCGCGATCTGCCCTACAGCCCTGAGACCAGCATAAGAAAATTTATCCTCCTAAACCTCACAAAACGTAGCGAAGCACAATATCGGCCCAATCAAACCCTCACAAGCCCCCAACAAATACTCCACATGCGACCCTAACTCCAAACCCCAGAGCCCTGAGCCCGAAGATCCTTAACGGAACCCTCACAGAAACCCTAAAATCAACCCTGAACCCTAAACCCTAAACCCCTAAACCCCTAACCCTAAACCCTAAACCCTGAACCCTGAACCCTGAAACCCAAACCCTGAACCGAAACGAACCCAAATCGGCTCGTTAAAGTTTCTAAATACAGTAAACCCCATAAAGTTGGAAACCGGATCAAGGCCAAACGTGCGGGGTTTGGTTAGGGTTTAGGGTTTATGGCCAAATAGTGCTGGGATTCCCTATACATTACTCTAAAAGATTGAGGCTATTGGGTTTCAACTTTTGGGCTTCTACCGTAAGGCAGCTGGCCTTCTCAGGTGGAGGCCCCTCGCAGGTCTGTGTCTTCAAGAACCACGTGGCATACCGCCTGCCCAAAGTGTTTAGGATGTAAGGTTTGTTAGAGCGTTAGGGCTTTAGGGCCTTTGGGATCAGGGATTGAAACTAAGGATCCATGATCCCAAACAGTATGCACTTTGGCCCCAAAGCACGTGTGTACTACTTTAAGGCCAAAGTATATACTGTTTGGGTGCATGGATCCTGAGGGGTGGGACTAGGGATCCTTTGTATAAGGACCCGTGTCTGGGATTACACCACCAACCTTTATCCCACTTTTGGACTTTACGGCAAGAGAGTCAGGGCTGCTGGAAAGCATTCCAGATCCTTCCGGGCGTCTTACTTACGAGGCTCTTGGCGTAGGCTTGAACCAGAAGGTTTAGGGTTAGGGCAGCTATGTAACGTACACAGGCCCAAATCCGAAGATCCTAAACCCTAAACCCTAAACCCTAAACCCCCAAACCCTAAACCCTAAACCCTAAAAACCCAAACCGCTCTGAAAGTCATTCTCAAGAAGGGCCTCTGGGAACAGATCCTACCCAAAGACGCTAGGCATTTGACCATACGCCCTAACCCATAACCCTCAAAACTGAACCCTGAACCTTCATGCCTGCGACAGCGATTTTGAAAACAGGTGTTTTCAACAACTAGGACCTCTAGCCCCTACGCCCTGAACTCCTAAACCCCCGGAGCCCCCTAACCTCCCTAGACCCTAAACCTTAAGAGCCCGCCTGATAGATCCTTCCCGGACATGTCGCCGGATGGCTTCGAAGAAGTTTCGGTACCTAGTTGGGTTCCTACCAGCTGGTAAGAGTAATCATAGCAATAGACATAGCCACCGAAATAATACTAGGAATATGAATTGTACTGTTGTTTTTAATCGAAAGAGTGGAAGATTTTTTTCATAGCGGTAGCAATCGAAATCGTAGCCGTGCTTGTAATCGCAATCGTAATCGTGGTCGTAGTAGAAATCATACCGGTACTCCACCAATAATGAATGAAAGCAATGTTTACAATATTAGTAGTAACTTATTAGTATCTTATTAGTCATGTTGAGCTGGAACTTTGTTCACTAATGTTCGCACAAACTCTAAGACTCTAAGCCCCTGAACCGACATCTGCACCTTCTCTGCCACCTCGGGGGCTTCCGTCCTGGCAACCTTGGCGATGGATGCCCTGGTGTCGAAGGCGGAGGTCGTGCTCTTCAGGCACTTTTGACCGAGCTTCCAACTCTTGGTGGGGCCGCCCTAGGCTTCTGGAAGTACCAGGCATCGCCCTTCGTGACTTCCCCAGCACATGTGAAGCAGCAAAAGCTCACACTGGTTCGGGCTTGATTCTCCTTCGTCTCAATGCCCAGGGCCTTTCGAAGGTCCTTGTCAGGCAAAGTGGCGATCTTGCCATCCCAAATGTAGCAGATGTGGCTGATGTTCAAACTCTCGTAGCCACACCGATCGCACTTTTTGACTTCACCTACTCCCCAAGCTTGCACAACCCAGACCCCAAAACTTACAACTAAAAGACATAAAACCCTTCAACCCAAACCAACCCTAAACCCTGACAAACCCCAGCCACCAGCGTGACAGGGGTCTTTGGCGCGCTGGGGACGTCAAGACATGCTTCGAGACTTATGAGGGTTTTGGGTCAAATCTACACTCTCAACTCCTAAGCTACGAAGACTCGTCCTTCCTTCAGTTTGAAGATAAACCCAGGCAAGGTATTTTCATCTGGGCGCTGTATTTCCAATGAGAAACCCTGTGCGAGACCGCTGCCCGAAGCCTTCAATCCCAAACCACCACAGGGTGCCGAACAGTGTGGACAGGACCTGTCGACGTTGGGGGTCTTGCAGCTAAACCTATCTGTCTGTCTAGCTGTGTGTCTAATTTATCTATCTATCTGTATCTATCTTGAATCCTAGGTTCCCCCAAAAGCCGCCTCATGGAGGTTCAGGGTTTAGAGGTTCAGGTATTAGGGTTTAGGGGTTTAGGGTCTTTAGTGTTTTGAGGCTTAGCTTTCAGGGGTTAGAGGTTTAGTATTCGGCTTTAAAAGGAGACCCCGAACATCGAAAGGGCAAAAGCGTACTGCGCGGGGAACCTGGAATTGCCTGGAATCTTCGCTCCACATGAGCAAGCTGCCAAACCTAGACCGCCACAGACTCTGATACGGACGCTGGTATCAACCCAATACCGATTATGCTAAACCAGAAACTCTAGTATAGCCAAACATACCCCGAGTTTACCCTCAGACATAAGTCGGTGTATCTATATGTGTACATACTTATATACATATAGACACATGCACATATATCCCGAGCCCCAAAACAGGCTGTCCTAATGCAGAAGTTCAATAACAACGCTATTCCTTTGGGGTTCCGTACTTCAAAGGAACCCTTTACAGGAACCCGTTTAGGAACCCTATTCTAATTATTCAAGCCTCTCTATTCTCCAAGTTGCACGAAGAAGTTGTGCTGCGCAAGCAGCATCGTCCCAAGGAGCTCGTGCACCTACGACAACGATTTAGGGCTTGGGGTTTTCAGGGTTCAGGGGTTTAGGGTTTAGGGGTTTAGGGGTTTAGGGTTTGAGGTTGTAGGGTTTAGGGGTTTAAGGGTTTAGGGGATTAGGGGTTTAGGGTTTAGGGGCTTAGGGCTTAGGGCTTTAGGGTTCGAGGCCTTAGTT